ACATCTATTCCTTCATTTCCTCCTATTCTTGACCCATACTCATTTCGAACTTCTCTGAAACCACCTTGATCACGAATTAACTCTAACACCATCTCCTTGGCTTGTTGAACTTTGTATGGGTCTCCAGTAATCCTAAGAGGTTTGTCAGCACCTGTGTTTTGAGGCCCATCTTGAATCATGACCATTTTAACTCCAGCCCGCTCCTGAAGTTGTTTAATAATTTCTCCTCCCTTCCCAATAACTAATCCTGCCTTGCTAGCTGGAATCATTATTTCTTGAACTGCATTTCCTGGTCCATCACCATGATGAAAGCCAGGAGCTGGTCTTCCTTTTTCAACAATCTGGTTCAGTAAGCGTTTTGCTGATTGGACAGACTCAGGTGTTCCAGTTAACATACAAGATCTTTCTGGAAGGCCACCACTGTCAGGAGCTATCTGTATTTTGCATCCAGATTCCTGTTGTATGCGTGAGATCTGTTCACCTCCTCGGCCAATTATGAATCCAACCATTCCATCTGGAACTTTGTATTCTTCTGTCATTACAGACCTCTGCTGTTGATGCATCGGTGGTAACTGTGTTCCAAAAGAGTCATTTTGAGGAGCAACTTTCTTAGCATCTGGTTGATCTCCATCTTCCAAAGGTCTTTTTTGTCCCCCATAACCATAGTCATTTGAATTCAGTGATGTGCCAGCATCACCTCCAATTTTTGCTGCAATCTGCCGGGCTCGCTGCAGCGCATCTTTGAAAGCATCGTTGACTCCTCCACCACCGCCACCGCCACCACCAGCTGAGCTGGAGTTAGATATTTATAGAAAAAAAAAAAAAGAAACTCTGCACATCATGAAAGTTTTCTTGTGTAAAAACATTTTAAGAAAGACACAATGGGAATCTTTCAAAAATGAAATTGGATATATACCACAAGTTTTACAATTTCACATTTTACGTTACTTAATACATTATCTTCTATATTAATGTATAATGTGTATTTAGTGAATTCAAATTGGCTTTTCATTTGTTGATGATTATAGACAAAGTACTGTAACAGAATAATTCATTTTATCATCTGTTTTACTTGTTACTCATTCTCCTTTCTAGACGTGGCTTAGCAAAAGCTTTTTCTAAGTTCTTTCTGCATGTGCAGCTTACTCAGTACCCCAGAAGCTACTTCCTTCAACTTGACAATTTACAAAAGGGCATTATAAGATTGAGATCCTGAGTGTGAGAGTGTTTTGTACTTGTTCTGAAAGAAGAATGCATTTCTTGGCTGCAATTATTCTCAGGAACTATCACTTTTCTTGGCTGTTAAAAGTATCTAACTGATTTGTGTCACCACATGTAAGCCACCCAAAGCCATAACAAAGATCACAGCACATGGTATGTTTGATTGGAGCTATTACTTTTTTCCCTCCAGGGCCAATCCCATAACAGGTGCCTTGCTCCTGAGACATTTTCTGCAACCCTCCAATGCCACCCTAGTGAACTCAATAAGGTCAAGGGATTTCATTTTACTTTTCCTCTGGTGTTCTGCTGAAAGGATTTTGGTTCTTAATCTACAGCAACCTTATGAATTTTACCTTGGATTTCAGTTCATTTTATTTTTTTTTCCCCTCTAATGGTTCACGTAGATAATCTATTACCTATGGTGTGTGTGTATTTTAAATTTATGGTATAGTTTTTAGGTAATAGAAATACTATTGTGTAGGCTCAGTTTCCCGCAAGAATGGATGTCTATATTCACTTTAGTCTTAACTTATTTTCTCTAATATGGTCCCTTTAATTTTTGGTAGAGATAATGCCTAGATTTTAGTTTAAATATTGCATTGTTGTTACCTGGTTAGACTACTAAAAGTCTCCTGAGCTTCTTTCAAATGTTGAATGCAGCTGTGCTGCCAATTCTCCCTTGGGCTATCACCTACGAATATCATAAATTTAATATGGTGCGGTGCAGTGATCTACTTGTGGCTCTTCTAGTCGTGGTCTTTGTGACTGGATGGCACTATGTGAATATGAAGTGCTTGTGGCCTACAAAGGGGATTGGATAGCTTCCTAATAATATGATACAGTACATGGGTCTTGTGTTAGGAAAGAACCATACAAATAAAGTGTATAAGTCCCTAACATGGGGACTGGTCAGTTTTGCCATCCAACCAGGCTAAAAAAGAGCTGTACCACAGGTGGAAAGGGGAATCTCACTACCACCAAGAAAGAAGATCCAAGCATAGAGTGGGTCCTTGGACCTGAGGTCCCTGTGCTGAGAAGATGAGAGACAGCAGAAAGATGGCAGCAGCAGAGGTAGCAGAACCAAGAGACCAACAAGAGATAAGCAGTGGGCTTCTTGACCTATGGAGTCAGAAAGACCTTCAGCAGGAGGCTTGCCAGGAGAATTGGGTGCCTCTCTGAGCACCTATCAGCAAAGCTAAGAGAGCTTTGTAACCCTTGCCAGAGCAGACAGTGGCAAAGGCCAGATAGAAGCATGCCTGCAGCATGCCTGCAAAGAATCTGTCCTGATTGAGCACGAGTAACCTGAGTTATTTCTGATCCTGAATTGTAACCTGTTACTTCACTAATAAACCCATAGTTGTGAGTTGTCTGTGAGCTCTGTGTGGTCATTACAACAAAATATTGAATCCAGCAGAGAAGTATAGAGTTCCTTGGAAGGGATGGTTGGTATCAGGTTGGTAAAAGGGGTTAGAAGTCGTGGTATGTTTGACCTTTGCTTCACAGGACCCAGCTTTGGGCTGTTGAGGCTCATCTTGATTCTCTTTCCCCCTTGTGAAGGTAGAGGAGATCAGGTGCTGCTCCCACACCCTTATTACAGTAGGTTTCAGGAGTGGGATCTGCTGTAATGGCTCCAGATTCATGGAAGTGTGGAACTCTGTATGAGAAGGAACAAAGGAGCATGGGAAGTGAAACTTTTGATTCTTAGACTGTTAGTTTGGCACTTTTTACATGTAACGGCTGAAAAGAATAAAAGATGTTATGCTGAAGCTAAGGGGAGAAAAGCCACATCTAGAGTGGCTCTGGGCAAGAGCCAGGACAAATCAAGGAGATGACTGAGAGTGGGCCAGGATCTACTGGTTCCAACAACCAGAGGCCCAAGACCATGTGCATTTGAAAGGGAAGATAAACAATGTGTGGAGAACAGAATATGAAACTAGGATGTTTTAAAAAAGGTTATGCATTTATCTGAATGTACTGTGTATATTGAATGTTTCACCTACTTAGTTGTAACATGTTGTTTTTGTTGTTTGGTGACATCGAGTCATCTCCAACTCATAGCAACCCATGTATAGCAGAAGGAAACACTGCCCAGTCCTCCACCAGCCTCACAATCCTTGCTATACCTAAGCCCGTCGTTGCAGCCATAATGTCAATCCACTTTGTGGAGGGCCTTCCCCTTTTCCGTTGACCCTCCACTTTAAGAAGTGTGATATTTTTCTCCAGGGAATGGTCTCTTCTGACAACATAATCAAAATATGTAGGACAAAATCTAGCCATTCTTGCTTGCAAAGAACATTCCAGCCGCACTTCCTCCAGGACAGATTTGTTCTTTTGGCAGTCCGTGGTACTTTCAATATTCTTCACCAATACAACTCAAAAACATCAACACTTCTTTGTTCTTTCCTGTTCATTGTCCAGCTCTCACATGCATATGACGCAATTGAAAATACCATGGCTTGGGTTAGGCACACCTTGTTGTTGTTGTTATGTGCCATCGAGTCAGACCCGACTCATAGCAACCCCTCCTTGGGTTTCCAAAGCAGTATCACTATGGAAGTAGATTGCCCCATCTTCAAGAAAACATCTTTGTTCTTCAGCACTAGAAAGAGCTCTTTTTTAAATTTTTATTTGTGTATTCATTTATTTATATTGTGCTTTAGGTGCAAGTTTACAGAGCAAAGTTTCTTTTACATTCAACATTACATGTACATTTAGTTTCACTACCCATTTACCATCCCCAAATATAACCCAATTTCCTCCCCTCCTTGTCCAATAACAACCCCACATGTCCTTTATAGTTATGCACTCCTGTGTGTCCTGCATTTCCTTCATGTGGATGTTGCCCCTCTGGTGCCCCGTGGTCAATTGCTCCACGGGATGCTTTTCCATAGAGTATGTGGGTGCATCACCATGGGTTGAGTGGTCTGCTTGTACATCTTGTTGACTATTGGGCTGAGAGTCAACCTCTGGGAATGAGTTTTATTCCAGACCCAAAATGTATGTCAGGGCTATAGTATTGGGGGTCTCACCAAAGTCTATCTGACAGGTAATGCTGGTCATTATTGAGTTTTTGGATTTTATTCCATGTTTTTCCTCCCATTCTATCCAGAATTTCCAGATTTGATCCTTTCCTGAGCAGATGGCATTGGTAGCTGGGCACCATCTAGTTCTTCTGTTCTTGAGGGCCATCATGTCCTAGGGCTGATTGCTTCCAAATGCCCTAGTTTTTTCACACTCTTCTTCTCTTCTGATGCTAGGAGACCATTAGCTGCATCTTATATGGCCACTTGAAAGCTTTTTAGACCCCAGTTGCTACTCACCAATGTATTGTTGTTGTTGTTGTTATGTGCCATCAAGTTGGCCCCAACTCATAGCGACCCATCCTTGGGGTTCCGAGGCAGTATCACTATGGAAGTAGGATTGCCCAAATTTCCTTCCGAGGAGTGGCTGGTGGGTTTGAACCGCCAGCCTTCTGGTTAGCAGTCAAGCGCCTTAGGCACTATGCTACCAGAGCTCCCTGCCACAGATATAGTCACTCTTATTCTTGCGTGTTCTTTCTGGTGAAGTCCATGTGTTCACCTGCCATTTGTGTTGTTGAAAAAAGGTATTTGCAGTGAATAAAAAATAAGCTTTTAAGATCCCAGTCACTACTCACCAATGTAGGAGGAGAAAAAGACTTTTATGTGTTTGTTGTGCCAATTGAGTCTGGTGTCCCCCACAACTATGGTCCTGAGTTGGTAGATCCATTGGATCTCTCTCACACAGTGTCTGGGTGTCTGTGAGGGGTTACTCTATGTAGTTACCCTATGTAAGAGCTCTTTTGCAGTAGATTTGTGAAATGCAATACATTGTCAGATATTTTGACTGCTGCTTGGTGTTGATTGTAGAACCAAGTAATTTGAAGTTTTTGACAACTTCAATCTTTTCTCTATTTATTGTCATACTGCTTACTAGTCCAGTTGTGAGAATGTTTGTTTTCTTTACATTGAGGGGTAATCCATACTGCAGGCTGTAGTCTTCAATTTTTATCAGTAAGTGCTTCAACTCATCCTCACTTTCAGCAAGCAGAGTTGTGCCATCTGCATATCACAGATTGTTAATGAGTCTTCCACCAATCCTGATGCCGCATTCTTCTTCATATAGTTCAGCTTCTTGGATTATTTGCCTAGTATACAGTTTGAATAAGTATGGTGAAAGGACACAACCCTGACACACTCCTTTCTTCCTTTTAAACCATTCAGTGTCTCCTCGTTCTGTTCAAATGACAGCCTCCTAGTCTAGGTACAGGTTCCTTATAAGCGCAATTAAGTGTTCCGGAATTCCCATTGTTCTCAATGTCATTCATAATGTCTTATTATCCACACAGTCAAATGCGTTTGCATAGTCAATAAAATAAAAGTAAACCTCTTTCTGGTATTCTTTGCTTCAAGCCACAATCCATCTGACATCAGCAATAATATCTCTCATTCCACGTCCTCTTCTGAATCCAGCTTGCATTTTTGGAAGCTCTCTATCAATATACTGCTGCAACTATTTTTTAATTGTCTTCAGTAAGATTTTACTTGTACAAG